AAATCAAGCTTTTTGCACAAGCTGTTCTTTTTATTACATTAATGATACTGGAATACCATTATAAGGCTGATATCCTATGATGGTTCATTTTTGCAATAATTGCTCTTTGCATTGTTCTATACTGAGAAAAAATTTAAATGCCCCATGTAATACTTTTAAAGTTTTTATATGTATTATATCATACAACGTGAATTTTGTTGTTCGTTGTGCTACAGATTACTGTCCATAAGTCCAGATTTATATTTTGAAAGCAAACGAAAGGAAAAAAAATCATTAAAATTCTTTACTAAGTTCATAGTAATTTTATTTTAATATTTACTATTATATCCTAGGAAGAGAAAATTTATTCTATTCCTTTTAATGGGTGCATTTTATTTCTGCAGCAGACAAGATTGGCTAAAAAAAATAGATGCTGTTTCAATATGAATGATTTCTAACATTTGTATTCATGCCATGATTCCACCAGGAAAATCTATTATTTGTTTGCAAAATAAAAGCATTTTAAACAGGACAACACTAGTTTTAGATAGAATATGGATTTAATTTTAATATGAATCACTGAAGACTGTAGAATTAATTGTATGAAAGTACCAATGAATGTATGAAAATGAAAGCAAAAGAAGACAAGCTGGATCAATGGCGCTGATAATTGAGTAAATTGTATGAGCAGAAAAGCTTGCTACTCAGGCAATTTGTGTCCTGAACACTGCACTGAAGAACAACCAACACATTAGCATCAATCATGATGTGTTTGCTTCAGTTTCAATGATTAGTATGTACCCAGAACAATGAATTTGTATCAATTAGGAAAAAAACTCCCATTCTTCTTACTGAGCACCCCACTGTCCCTAGCCATGCCCAATGTGATGAATGACTAGATATTCTGCTCTGCTGAGCACCAACAAACAATGTGGTATTTTTTCACTCCTGTTATTTTTTCAAACCTTTTTTCTGCATGACCAGTAGAGATAAACAACCATCATGTATTTTGGGTTCAAGTAGTTCCTTATACCTTCTCCGTTTAGTCTGGTTTTATTAAATCTGTATCCTACAATAAATTAGTTCAATTAAGATAATTTCATCACTTTAGTGATTTAACTTTCGAAGAATAATCTATTCTGCTGTGAAGATGTACACACACACACACAGAGGCATTTTAAATCAGGGATATGTAATTTTTCAACGTAACCTATTGTCATATTTGATTGCTTTACACATTGGATTTTTTTTATGTGACAAAAAAGTTTAATTAATGTCTAACTGAAATAAATTCTGAGGATAAAAGTTCTTCATACATTCTCTGCAATACTGCCTTCAAGAGTTTCAAACATACTCATGGTGGAACATTATGTTAAATTTAAAAATAATACATATTTGGATTTTTATTGGTCAATAAATCTTAACTTAGTTTCTCAGTGTTTTGTGACAGGGTATCAAGAATCTAAGCAACAAGTAACATAGTCCTGAAATGTTTAGAAAGCCAACATCTTTTTTCAGTTGTTTGCAAGTAAGAATTATTCTATCACTTAGTTCAACTCATTCCAAGGGACCAATATGGTTTGGGTCAACAAGAAAGTAACATTTACACAACAACATTTCTCATAACGACCCTAATGTTCCAATATTTGCTTTGTTATCATTTATGAAAAGCAGCTAAAAGACTGTGTGTAAATGGTTCACCAAGGAAGAGGCTGGCGTGGATCAGGTCAAGATACATTTGAACTGAGGTTACAGCAGGTTAAGTTTATTTGTCTTCTTCTTTCAACATATCATCTGTGATGCTGAAATAAGCTAAGAGGGAGATGGAATGGAAAAAAAAATCTAGATGTGTTTTGAAGAGCATATATAGTATGGGACAAGGAGGAAAGGTGATACTTTAAAAGGAGATCTATATTGCAGGGGTGTGACCTGTTTCATCTGGCACCCTGGTAGTCTCCACTGGTGCTGCCTGATACAAAAACAAAACTGTGTAAAAGGACAAGTTTATTTTAGTTAAAAACTACTTTGCTTTATACCTAAATGTTCTCTCCTCCCCCGACTGGGTGACTAAGTGCGCTGTAATTATGGAACAAGATGCATGTAAGCAAAGAGCCATCTTTTCTATAATACACATAAAATCAAATCAGAAGCATTAACAGTATCATTACAGTATATTTTACAAGACATCCATCATTTGCATTATTCAAAATAGTTGCCACTGACGACAACATTAACATCAACAAGATCAACTATCGTTTCCTGCATAGTCTGTGAGCAGATATGAATCTATCCATTAGCAGTTTGCGAGAAGAGTCACAAAGCCTTTTTGTAAAGACCGATGCAGTTTTTTTAACACAATTATTTCCCATGGTTTAGGTTGCTCTTATCAATACAGGAGTCTTATCAGGATTTGAAGATGCAAATCTTATTGGTATGATACTGTAATCAGGCTTTATATTTGTCCTCATTTTTTTCAGTAATTAAAAAAGTGGCTGTCTCATAGCCTAGAAGGCCATTTCCCTGAGCTATGCCGTTTTTACAAAACATCTATACAAAAATGCACATATATGCTTGCAAGCCTCTTTAACCTTGTACTATATGTGCATATGCTGTGATATGCATACAAGCCTGTCTTTCATGCTAAATGCATGCCTACGTGTCTACTTTAGGATTCATGTGCAAGCAGTTGTAAAGTGTCAGCATGCGAGCCTGCATAGCCAAATGAAATGCATGAAGACTTCATATCCAGGCAAAGAACACATAAAACAATCCATGGTTGAACATTTCATGACTGTGCTATAGAGTTGTTACTTCTACATGACACCTTGGGCAAAACATGCAGAATGGCAATGATTACTAAGCTCAATTCTTCAGCTTAATAGTCTATAGTGTGGTGCAAAGAACAATGCCATTAGCAAAATGAAATGTTTTGATTACATGTTCTTCATATAAAACCATATAGCAGCAATGTTGACAACTTACTCAGAAACTATGTCATGTCTGGCTGACCTTTTTACATTCTAATGAGTTTTGAAGCATATTTCATATGCCACCTTGTTTTTTCACCATTTAGTATGCTGACTGCTTTTCATTTTATGATGCAATGAGAGGCAACTCCTGCTAATTTGTATCACTTATTGCATTTTGATTGCTTTACATTTCCTGAATATTTCTAGTACATTTATAGCTTAGTTTTTACTTGGTCAAACAGAGAAAATGAACAAGGAAACCAGATAACACATTCCTTCTACTACAGCAATTCTAACAATGTGCAAAAACATCTGCACCCCATGGAATGATCTCATTTATCTCACTTGATGAGATTTTTGTTGCACAAGTTCAAAAATGGTTGATCTTTTGTTACATGGGGGGACACCAGGAAGTGTTCCAGCTAGGACATCAAGCACTATTTGTTTTGTCACATCTAACAGCTTTTACAACACCAGATTAGAAACACTCTTTTTAAGATAACATGGAAGCTCACATGCCCCTTATATCATGCAGCAGACTGGACAGGTGACATGAGAAAACACTGGTTTCCTGGTACTGCTGGGTACCCATGCACTTTGTCAAAGCTACAGCAAGTTCAGGTCTACTTATTTGCATGTAATATCTATGATTAAGTTTGTGATCTAATGTGGATTAATGTAACCTTTCTTTGCATACATGGAAATGCAATTAAATCATGTTTTTGAAGTGAAAACCTCCTTTCGAAATGTTACCCAAAATATTGTTAATTTTCCTTTAATTTATTCCCTTTTCAAAAAGTGAATGAACTTCACTGACATGGGACTGGAATCCCTTTAGACTTCATTATGGCTTTTCTGTTCATCATTTAATCTAAATATGACAAAGGCAAAGTTAATTGAACTGAAGACCTTTGGGAAAATAAAAGGGCAGTTGAAAATAAATGACCTTGTCCTTTTTCCATTCAGTGTCATTGCATATTGTACCATCTCAATATTAGCATTCCTGGACCTTTTTTTAGAAAAATGTTTTCTCACTTTTTCGATCAGTCTGTATAAAAACAGCTCAATGACTTTTAAATTCTCACTCTGCTTTTCTTTAATTCATTTTTGAAAACTGGTTATAAGCATGCAAAGATTAGTAAAAATAATTTATTAAACAAACTGTTTCTATTCATTCCATCTGCATTACCTCAAACTTAATATAAACAAACTTAGGCAACATACATATTTCAATTTTTTTCTCTTTTTGAGCCAAATGTGTATTCTAACGAGCTGAATATGAGGGGAAACCGTAGGCCACCCTTTCTCTTTTCTGTTGTTGTTGACATTGGGCATATGTCTAAATTTCTTCGTTAATCACAGTCAATATTTGGACTACACTAGTGCAGGTTTACAACAACAATACGAGACAACGGTTCTTGTTACTGTTGCAATCTTAATCACCAGTGTTCCTTCCCTGTAGTTATTTGCCAGGAAAAAGTTGTCAACAGAGAGGTTATCAGCTAAGTAAATTTGACAGAGACACCCTTTCAAAAGAATCAACATTAACTATAAGAGATAGCCTTGCAGCTACTACATTTATTATACGGGGACTCATGATTGTAATGGGTTGGGGATCATTATTCTAGGTTGCCCTGTGACATCTTTATTATATTCCATTAATCAAGGATTGTATCACTCATGATTGGTTTTCCTCCATGATAAAACATGCCAGGGTTAGGCTGTGTGCTGGATACCACACACGAGGTCAGGGGAAGTTTGTATTTTTTCCAGTGTTTGTGTGAAGGGCTGGATAGGAATCTGAAATTATCTCTAAATAAAGCTTAATCAGAACACAATTTTATTAATGATTAAATATTTGGATACAATTCAAAATATTGAACTTGCTACATCCAGGCTACATCCAATGCCCTATGATAAAAATAACAGAAGTAAGATAAAGGCAAATAATATGATGCAATTTTAAAACTTAAGTCTGCTTTAAGTGCTTTTTTATCTTATGAAGGACCTGTTGCATATCTCCATGGAGGAATTTCTTTTATCAATACTTACATCATCAATGACTTCAGTTATGTCAAACATGTAGTGCTCATCTATGTACTTCAGAAGTTGGGCTTCAAATGCTATCAGGTCATAGTGCTTCTGGGCATCCTAAATAATAAAAACAAGATAAATGTAATGTTATGAAAATAGACAGAATCTGTTGAAAACAAGAGCATAACAGAATTTTTAAACCATAAAAGTTGCATCTCATCCTGTTCATTGACAAAACCAAACAAAAATAAAAGACAATATAATAAATAATAAACAAATACAAAAATCAGACAAAAATAATAATAATAAATAAATAAATAAATAAAATAAAAATAATAAAATAAAATGAAAAATAACAATCTTTTAATATTCCATCAATGACACAAAAACACCACTAATGAGAAAAGACTGTACAGAAAATGTCAGAACCTATAATGTAACATTACAATGCAGGATACAATATATGGCTACATACCCATGGCTTACTGCCTAACAATGATTAATGATCAACTGTCCCCTCCCCTCCCTCCCCCCTTGCCCCTCCTCCCCAAGTGTGTAAATGAGTCTTAATTATAATGTCCTCAGCCAGACAGGCAATCTGAATCGGGTAATTGATACCAGACTGGACATGAAATTCTAGACATGGGTTCAGTCACATCTGCTCCTCTCTGGGCTTCTATTATAGCCATGATCACTCTAGGCTCAAGGACCGAATATGATGCAGAAATGTTACCAATTCTTAATGTAATTGAGTCGGCCTTCAATTATACAACCTTGCTTTTTTATATCAAATATATATCTGCCAAATGAGAAAAATTTTAGCTGTCATACATCTGTGCAATTATTGCTACCAACTTGATTATAACAAGGAATGTTTGATGCTTGTTACCAAGTAATGATCATCCTATCATGGCATTGTGTGAATCCACCTTAAGCTGATCAGAATTCATGTCAATTTCATAAATCTAGAATGTGATGGGTTAATATCTTTCTGCTTGAGAGCAACTTTTGATTAGCACTTTGGTTTAATGACCACTGTTAAAGTCCAGCCATCTATATTAATCACATCAACTTATCTTAAGCCATAACAACCATTTAATGAATTCTTCATAATGACCAGTAGTTCTATGGCAAGCTTTTGTGCCCAGTAAGTTTTCTTAGATAAAATAAACATTACACTAGACAAAGGTCATAAATATATCTCCAGCCAGTCTGCACATTTCTATTTAGCACAATGATAAAGGCTCACTTAATCACTGACTCAACACTTATTTCATCTTCATGAGCTACTTTATTTTGTATTAATGATTCATGGATAAGATATAATCTGGTTTATGGATTTTCAGAAATAAGATTAGAAAATGAAGTTATAAAAATCACATAAAATGTAAAAACCATGTTTTCTTTTGCTTTCCTTTCCATAAACATTTAATCAAACGTAATAAGTGGAGTAAGACAGTTTACTGTTAATCTGCTGGCAAATTAAAAAAAAAAAATTAGATACCATTGTAAAGATATTTGAAAAGAAGAAAACTTTAAAATCTTATACATTCCTCATTTATCAAACCATAAATAAAAGACCTAATAAACACCCTAGCAATATATCACTGACATCCATTTGAACATGGTAGCAGAGTAATGTGCCACTATATCACATAATAATAGCATTAAAACTACCATCTAGATCCATTATCAGTGCCAGCAAAAGATTACTACACTGAATTAGTAGAACAATTATGTGAAGTTTCCTGCACTTTGGGACTTGCTGACTTGACATTTCCCAGACCAATTTCCCAGAGCAATTTCTAGGAGAGACGTCCTTGAGTGATGAGTCAGTACTAATATTTAGCTCTCTGCGAGTCTCATCTCACCACATGCAGCCAGTGTGGGCTGTTTTATGGGTATTTCACCTCAGCACAAAGAGCATAAGATAGCATAATCTTTATTTTAATTTTGCAGATACATCATTGACTATTCACATTAAAAAGTCAAAGTCATGTTTTTCATTATCTGGACAATTTTCTAATGCAAGTAGCATGGTTCAAGACTAATCTCAGGCTCTTGCTATTAGCTGCCTGTAGCCTGGGAGTTTTATTGGTACTTTTTCTCTGCACATGACATAACCCTTCATGTCTTACTAAGAGGAATCATCACTTCACTTTTCTATTTATCAACTAAGTCCATAGTTTGGATAAAAAGCCTCCACCACTTTCAAGTTCAATGACTTCTTTTGAAGGTATCATTTCCAGAGATATTAACAATATATTATTGCAACTGACAAATCAATAAGTTTTTAGAAGAGCTCACTTATATGAACACTGACTGCTCACTCATGTACATCACTACCAACACAGCAACCTCAGATCTGGCTTAATCTTTACCAAAATTACTCCACAATCTAATGGCCACAGCGATAATATTGGATAAAAAATTCTAAGGTGCAACAGGGTTCCTTGAATGGTGTTTGTCTGATGACATCAGTCTGACCATTTCAAGTTTAATGCACTATTTACTTGGAAGACTCTTTAAAAATTATGCATTAGGTCTCTCTGACACTTGGGGTTTTCCATCTGTGAACAAAAGAATTTATAAAACAAAGATGATTTTCAAAAATAAAAAAGATATATAAGAATCAATTTGTCTCTTTAAATTTATCAAATAATGAAAATAAAGATTAATCTTTCAAAAGTTTTATCTATGTACTATGGTAACAGTGAGCCTGCATATTTATAAAGGAAGGTTTTTAAAATTTGATTAAAATCACATTTTCTCTAAAAAAAAAAAGGAAAACAAGGACATGAGAACATGTTCCAAACTAGTGTACATAATGCAACTTTGAGGCATGCCACTAAGATACATCTTTAAGAGTAAACAGAGTAAGGCATACATATATAACAGTTCTGATAAAAACTATTAGACTGCCTTTGAAACTAGTTCTGGTTCAGGACACTGACACTCTTCTCATAAATAAATCAATACTACACAAGTGCCCATTTCACATATTGTTATCCAGATTATTTTTAAACCAGATACATGTCTTATGATACAAATGACAACTTTATTCCCAGAAACTTACATTTAAATTTAATCAATTCAATGAAGGAGGAAATGCAAATCAGTAAAGGAGGGAATGTCTCATTTAATATACCATCTAGCATTGACAGGGTTTAAGCTGTCATTAAATTTCAGAAAATGAGTTGATTTACTTTTTCTAAACAGGTAAATCTCAAATGTATAAAGCTTTTATGAGCAAGCTGTCATGGATCTAAAAACTGATGTGTGGTCAGTGTGGCCACTGTAATCTCCCACTGACCCATTTATGATCTTGATGGGCTGTCCCTTAAATGTCTTCATTAAGAAAGGGGATGCCCACCTGTGTCCACCTGCCCTTTGGCCAGTCTTTCACTGGTCAGTACAGGTGCCATGGACATTTGATCACTTCATTGGCATTTACAGGTGTTTTGCCAAATGCACACACCAGTATAAGATGGATAACAACTGAAGACTAAAGAAAATTTTGCAAGGAACTTCAATATTTCTGTTTGGATACAAAAAAGTTGGTGCACCTACCAATGTACACTTCACATTAATTTTAGACAAGTCCTTTAAGAATTAGTTCCATTAAATTTCTAAAATGTAATATTTATAACGTGAAAGTGCTAATAAATCATATACCTTTTTCATGTTAACCCAAATTCATTTGTATTCTCCAATCTCAGCATTTCTGTAAAAAGTTGTCACTTTTTATGAAGACATCTGCTCCTTGCATTAAACAGGTGTATTACATAAGTCAGTGCAAAATTAGTCAGTAATCGATTAAAGTATGCTGCTGGCATTTTACTTTACAACTTCATTCATCACATGAAGTAACTGGCAACATACATTTTAGCACCCTGGTGTCAGGATATGAACTTCTAACCCTGGGAGTCTAACCTTATAACAATATTTTCTTAGGCTGATATTGTTGTTATTAGTCACAAATATATACATTAGTTCCATCCTACTGAGGTCATAAAAAAATCAATCAGTCAAAAACAATAATAATTTATTTTTGCAATTCATTTTAGTTCATGTTAAGAATATCACATTTTAAAATTGCCAGTGATTGGCTTTTGCAAAAAATTATTTTGAATAAACATTTTTGTTTACAGAAAAGATATAGCAAACTTTATTTGTTTGTTTAAATCCACCAAAACCACACGAAAAATGTAGGATCATGTCACATTTAATTTGAGTTTATGATTTATCCACTGTTTTCATCTGAGCGACCACACACACACACATGCTGTGGTTTATTTCAGCCATTTTTTATAGAAATCAAAGAGAATCACACAGCATGAATGATGTTATATGATTTTGTCATGTGTAGAGTATTTACAAATGTGCCAGTGTTATACACTTGAAACACAGACTATACAAGTGAATAACACAACTACATATCATGTCTGGACAATGTTCTGAAGATAGTTGTCTAAATGGCAATGCTACCCCAAAAATGGTGCTGAAACTTTTATCAGAGTTTATTGTAAGAAAATGTAATGATACTTAAAAACCTATCAACATGAAAATGCAATGTTATGTATTGCTTTATGAAATGGCAAAAACACCAGTCTCGCTCATAATTATTCATTTCTATTAAGAGGTAATCAGTATAAATCTTCACTCCGTCTCATCGACTTATAAGTTAATACTTGACAACAGGAAGTTTGAAAAGACTCTTCATACTGGGAAATAATCATTCCATCTTGAAGAGACAAATTTACAGAGAACATTCCCACATCTTTTTCTCAGGATGTATTTGACAACAAAGAACTGTTTTTCTGTCTTCAGTAATATTTTTTTCAATTCATGTGGTTTAAGTTAAAAGTCCACTGAATGTCATATATGAGGATATGCAGATTTCCTCTGCTGATAGAACATAAACTAGGAGGAAATGGCTGGGGCTAATTAAAGCACTTTTCAAAAATACTACCAGCTAGGTAAAGAAACAGCCCATTTTATGTACTCATAACCCACCTCCAGTCTGATAACATTATAAGATATGGTGTCAATATAAACATAGCTGCTCATTCAATTTGGTTCTCTGAACAGGAACTGGATAATCTGTTGGCCCAACAGTTAACTGGGCATCGAGTTTTCAGAGGTATGTTCATATTGGCAAGATAAAATGACAGCATTGAGGGTACTTAATTCTACAAATATTTTCATAAATCAAGCTCAGTGGTGTGATTCTTATTAATCTTCTACACCCACCATGTGCTGTTTAAAAGACCATTTTATGGTGAGCAACATAGTTGTTCTCAAGTCTCTGTAATGTGAACAGATTAATTTGGTTTTGAGTTGATTCAGATTCAGAATACGGTTGTATATGTAAACTAAGCAATGGGTAAGGAGGCCTCTTTGGGATACTTTAATCATAATCAATATAGCACTTACTGACTCTAATGACCCAAAATTATCCAGGATGACCTAATTATCACCTGCCCTATGGGCACAGCCCACAGGTGTTGCACATTCATATGTAATGATGACTATAAAATAAAGCTTAATTACGTGGATACATATTTTATTGTGGAAGTGGAAGAAAATAATCAATGCACTTCTTGCAAGACAACAAAAAAATTTAACAAAAACTAAGAAAAATCCATCACTGAATTACTTTCAACATTACCTCTTCCTATCTAGATATGACATTCAAAAAGTTACATAAACAACTACTCATAACTGTTAACACACCCAGCAAGGGAGAGAAAAATACCTCTCTAGGAGTAAAGCTCATAGGTCCAATCCCTTTCAGTCTGAGGTAGGCATCTTTATTAGCTTCCATGGTTTCATCTCCAGGCTTAAAAAGGAGGTAGGTGCCTGCACACTCTGATGCATGGTTGAATTCTCCAACTACAAACATAAAACACAGACAGTATTACTGGGTATATAGAAATTGTAAGTGTTGTGTTTAGGTTGAAATGATGTAAAACATCTAAAGGGTTTTACTGTGTCTATGACAAAGCATTACTACATGTTTTGAGTTTATGACTGAACAGACTGTTAATGTAAAAGAAATGCAAATACGATTTCATCAGATTGTGGGGCCGTCACTTTTGTTCCAACATCTAATAGCTACTTATTTAAGATATCTCTTAACAAGCAAGCACAAGCAGCTCATTTTCCACCCTGTAAACTTTTTTCAAGAAATAACAACAAATATCTACCATGCTATGTGAGTCCAGTATATGGCTTTCTGCACAGTGGATGAAAAAAAAAAATTAAATAGCAAAAATCCATAAGTTATGAATAGCATCAACACTGTTCATGACCCTGGACTGAAGAAAACTGGTACTAATTAAATTTTAATGTCTGGTTACACTGCCAGTGAACTTTATTTGTTCCTGCTCTGAATTAGAATGTAGACAAATGAGGGTCAGGTTAGAAGGCAACTATGCACCCTCCCAGTGTGACTACAGTATCATATACAGTGGGAGAACAAAAGCTTTCAACACACACATAAAAAATGTCTGACTTCAGCACAGATTGTTTATTCCCATTACACAATAGGCTCATTATTGGGGCATCACGTGATGGAAATATTCTTATTTTTCAGACAATTGAGATTGATTCATACTTTTTTTGTTTTCGTTCACTTATTTTTTCAAATTTGGAAATGGCAAACTGATCAGTGGTCTGACATGACACCCATACCAGCACACATTATGGCATTCGAAGTTCTTTGTTTTCTTTTTTTTATTGGTCAAATTAGTTGTGACCACCCTGAGCTTCAGAGCTCACTTGACACTAACCTTTTCACTGTAGCCTATCTCCATCGTGTCAAGTAACCTCTGACGAAAATAGTTTGACCTAGTTTATATAAGCCAATCGAATCCAAGTTTCAAAATTTTTCACCAAAGTTTGGTGAAAACGCTGATTGGTTGACCGTCAATCGGCAATCCTCGGCTGATTCCGCAAGCTCCATACTAACAACAAAGTTATTGTCGAGTGCGGAGACATCCGAGTAGTTCCGAGTGTATTACCGTACACAAAGAAAGCAAGGCGAGTGACTACGAAAAAGAATGTGTTAAGTTATCTCTTGATTCTTTGCAAAATATGAGTAAATCGGAATTGAAACCATAGGGTCTAGCAGTTTGAGGCCCTGCATCATTATCTACTGAGAGACCATGTTATTTGCGTGCTGCCCACAGGTTACGGCNGTTGTGACAGATTACTCCAATGATTGAATATAATTGGATAACAAAAGGAAATTAAAAACATCCAAAATATACAAGAAAAAATACAAAAGCATGTTAAGCCAGTCTGCCATATTTCTCCAATTTGCTCTCTTTACTTAGATTTGGGCGTGTCGTGCCAGTCAAAATGCACCTACATGCTTGTCAAATTCATATTTTAAATTTATACAACTTATTATTCATAAATTCTTCTCATTTCAGAATTCACGCACGTTATACAGTAATATAGGTTTTACAAAATTAGGTTGCAACTTGTCCTTCATCTTAAAGCTTAATCAAACCAGAAGGATAGTTTATCTAGGGGTATATCCAATATTACTTTTAATGTTATTATACAAAAAAAATACAACTGATAGCAGGTATATCTGTTATGAAGGACAATGGAAAACATTATTTCAACTGAAAATGTTTGTTATCCTGTAATATATGATTCCACCATTTGCTACAGGTATAATATTTCTGTAATTTGGTAATGTATTTTGTTTCTATCCAATGCAATACTTGTTATCATAGTCTAAAGATTTAAGAATCATCACTCTTGAAATGAATTTGTCTTGAAAGATATAACTATCTTGACTCATTCTAACAATTCTTTTCAAATTGGCTATTCTTTTTAGCCAAACCAAATATTATTTTTTAAGTAATTGAAGAAGAAAAATGCCACTTTCCCTTTGACAAATATATTTTTGCATTTCTCATAAATATTATAGGCAAAGTTTATGAAATATAAAACTTACTGATAGCTATCAACACAATATATTATTATTATTATTCTAAATCATACTGTGCATTGCTTTTTCCAAAGATGGAAAGTTTGTTAGAAGACCACCATCATGGCTGTTTGATGACATTCTGTTTGCTTAGCTGCACTTAGTATTATCCTATTACATCAAGTTACACCTCGATTTCCTTTCCCTTTGCCAAGTCAAATGAAACTACTGTTGATATATGAAATGAAAACCCCAAGAGATTCATTACACGGAATTCAAGTTTTCAGATAAGTCAACTGACTGGCTTGGACAGGGATTGGTTTGGAAAAGATACCGTTTAAATGAAGGGAGTTGTGCCGCTGGTGATTTGCAAATTTGTGGAACTAAATAGACTGGGGAAAAGTAATAAAATTCCTCCCAAGGTATTCCACTTGATTAAGCACTGATTAAGCTTTGGTTTACAAAGAAATTGAATTTCTCTATCGCCTCAGTGAACATAACTGGAAATTATTTCCAAGTTCATATCAATTTTCTTGAATCCACAAAACTGATCTAATTTCATAACTGATATTCTAAACAAAATTCAACAACTGCTTTTAGTCACGTTTTTGCATGCCTTTTTGTTATTGTTTAAAGAAGAACCTGAAAGAAAAAGGAGAAAACTAGTTAACACGTTGTTGTAACATACCAATCACATCTTTGCATATAAAACTTTAAAAAAAAGGCCATTCATCAATTTCATTAAATATTGTAAATTTTAGGGGTGGGGGTGGGGGGGGGGGAAATAAAAAGAACATTGCCATAACAGTCTGAGTAGAACCTCTACTCAAAGCACTGAGACATCTTGTTGCAATTTGTATTTTTGGCATGTCCATGTAGTTTTTCTCCATTTTTTTAATCAAAGATCTTGATTAAAGTATAAAACTATTAAGTATGTGCAATCTGGATAGATTGGCATGTAACTAATGTAAAGATAATTGTATTTCAGCTCTCTTTGTTGGCAGAGGATAGTGAGTCCTGGCACAGGACAAAGTGCCAACCAGTCAGTCAATGGAGAAATTTCCATGAAATGATGATCACTGCCTTGCCGTCAATGTGCCTGGTTCCTAAAGTGAACAGTTCAATCAATATTCATACACTATCAACTTGCTTAGCACTCTGCATGGAAAATCTAGTGCCTTGCTTCAGTAAATTGAATTTCACAGACACATGATGCAGGATGATGTAGAGAGATAATGAAATAGGGATGTGCAGGAGCCGGTTCCCACCCTGGTTCTCACAGAGCAGCTAGCACAACTCATATAAATGCGAGTGGCCACAGATAGCAAGTCTGGGGCTGATAACTCTGAGATGAGTACCATTATCTTTTTTTTTTAATTTTCACAGTTTCCAAGAACGTTTCAAAAGTTGTAGGTCTAACAAGTTTTCTAATAGGCTTGTTAAATTGGCACTGTTAGCATCAAACTGCTTTGAGAGAAAGCTCACAAAAAAGTAGGGTTCTTTTGCCAATGCATCAGCTATGAATAAAACAGGTCTTATCAACATTTGAACTCAGTGTACCTAAAGGGGAAAAAAATGCATGTTAGGTCAGCAAGCAAGCCTTATGCAAGTCTTATCTTAACGACCTGGTGCAGGGAAGTTTCATATATTGTTTCAAACAGCAGAGATGTGGTAGGAATTCAGCAAATATCTGTCACAAAATCAGCAAGTCTAATCATTATATGGTCACCTGATACAGGAGTTCATACGTACATTGTGCTATTGCAAAACACACTGATCCCATGTTCAAGGTCCCAGCGAAAGTTTACGATGGAATCTGCAAGTCTAATCTGATCAACAGATACAGAAAAGCAATCATATATTGTTTTCCAATAAAAACATGTCTATTTGGTGCAGACTGATAAAATTATCTATGGATTTGATATGGAGGTACAGCAGGAGTGTCAATTATTGTTACATATCACTCAATAATAGTCACTATCTTATTTTAAAATCATTAATTATATATTATTCTCTTCTCTTTTTTTTACTCCAAAAACTATGCTTGACAGTCATCAGAATTTCATTGCAATAATATAATAACTGTAACTTCTTGTTGTTCTGTCTTTATCGGCAGAAGTATTTTTTAAAGTTTGAATATAATCACTAACCTTTAAATAAAACATGATGTAAGCGCATTTTCAACTGTACCAATGTTTTAATAAACTTGAGCACTGAAACACATGTAGACAAATCAATTGCAAGTAACATGAAATATTTGAATAATTTCAGCTTTGTGCAAACTATATTTCATTATCTGTTTAAAAGGCAATGCTTTATTATACCCACACACAAACCAACAACTACTAGCATTCTAGGCATAAACTTCAACGCACCAATTCCCCTCCCTCTTCCTAGCATAAGGTCGCCCTTACCCCACGATCTAAGTAATTACTCCTGTACATGTCTATAAACTTGTGCAAAGATCTTGAAAGTCATCAGTCAAGTGGAAAAAGAGCTGAAGAAATGGAACATCCTTTACTGGATGTGACTAATGAGGCCACATTTGTAGCACTTAAAAACTCTCAGTTGAAAGGGCAAAAAAAGGAAGGAAAGGAAATGTTGGTTCTAAAGAAAGTGGGTGGAGATTGACTTTCCACATAAAGAATAAATAGTTCTAAAAAGAGCAAAATGCTATTAGGCTTGGGCGATTAGTCAAATGTGAATTGCAGGAGACCAAATGGACATCAATTGAAATTTACATACTGAATTGCATGGATATTTCTTTCTTTGCCATCAACACCACCAGGATTTCTAAATATACATTCAGTATTTCTGGACAAGATTAGGTTTTTACCTTGTTTTATGTGTTTGATTTAAGTGGGCAAGTTTTCTTTAAAGTAATTCATATAGCAATTTAAGATATAATCAAACATTTTTACTTCCTTGCAGGAATTGGGATCTCAAATCTACTTCATGGGAAGAAACAATGCATACAGTGACATCCGTTGGACATTCCTTTGTTCAAAAAGTTAGTTTACAGTTTCAAAACCATAGGAACTATTTTTCCTGAACCAGGACACAAGGTCAACTTTATTCACAATGGAAAACAAACCACCTTTTTTCTGCAAGTGTCACACTGTAATGTATTTCTTCACATTTTTTCTCATTTTTGCTTGTCTGGATAACTTCTTTTCCTGTAATTAGTCTACAATTACTTCAATCAAGCTGGGTATGGGCATACTACCAGTGTAAATCCACAGAAAACACAGGGAAACTTAAAATACACATAGTACATGAACAGACACTGCCCAGGAATTTTAGTAAAAAGGGGAGTAAATACAGAGAAACTTCACAGGAGTGCTTGCAAAAAAATAAAGGCAACATCCAGCTTCAGCCATGCATACCGTTTTCCTTTCAGGGCCTTTACTTACGATCTGGCATACTTACCCTTGAAATAGGCAAACTGTAAGTAGTGGTAGCAGCCTGCTATGAAGTCCTCTATAAACTGGCCATAGATCTTGTCCAGTTTCTGACCACAACTCTTCTTACAGTCTAAAACTTTTATGAAATAGTCTGGAAAGTAAAATGTGATTTTTGGGTAAAAAACTATCATATTACAGCAAAAAGCGTCACATCTTAAAATCTAATTAATTTCTAATCTGCTGTATTTTTTCATATAATATTGTACTTATTCTTTTGTTTTTTTAACAATCTATTTCCACATATTTTTTCATACAAAACACCATGATATTATCATCATCATCTTATTATCTTTCATCTCCCATCTGTAACAAATTACGTAAAATTGTTTTTAGATAAGGCACACTTTCAATACCCATTCTATTAACTTTTGACCAGACCGGACAGTTTAATTGTCTTAACGCAGGTTAACCAGATTTGCACTAATCATCAACATCAAGGCAGGTAAACAAGTTAACATTAACAGCCAATATTTGCACAATTTTATCAAATAGCAATTAAATGAGATTAATATGGCAGAATAAAGATATGTTATCTGGCATTGCTGCCTGCTGTCAGATGTGGTTGGTGATAGCAGCATCCGCTAATAGGAAATGTTAGGAGGCCAAATCAATTGGTCTGGACAGCCAAACACTTCCAGCAGTTATAACAGTAGCAGATGGAGAGTTACTATAAATAAAAGCAATGGCATGGGGTTTGTTGACAGGGTGAGAGAGAGAGAGGGGGTGGAGGGGGGTACATTGGTTGGCTAGAGATGTTGATGTTGTGTTCATTGAGGAGATGGGTACTTCTTTCACCAGAAAAAGCTACAGAGGAATCAGAAACCACACCCTGAAATACCACATAAACACATTCATGATATACTGTCAGAACACATTCCAAACCAGTGTTCCCAGTGTACCTGGCTCTGGTATCAGGCTGTAAAACACTAAGAGCACTGAATGAGTCCACCAGGTATATCTTTCCCCATCAGAGTGGAAGCTATCCTGAATGTTTTCTAATCAGCTGGAGAGGTGATCACCTCAGGAAGTCAACCAGTCAGATTTGTTTACAGGTTATCATAGCACTATAGAGAGACACTCTAGTTTAGTGCAGTGTATATATAGCAGATAGTTGTGAACAGTGTACAGAACTGCTCATGATGCCTTAGCATTAACCTAACCTTTCTGTATATTAATACACTGAAAAAAAAACAATTATAGGATGTAATTAAATAGGTATTGGCTGGGAAACTAATAGCAGGCTTCACTTGTATGTCAAGGTGAACTCAATAATGGCCGACTCCAAAATAAGCAGCTTTTGCCCCAAAACTTCTAAATTAATTTAAACAATTATAACTTGCATTATGTTAGGCAGAAACCTATGGTATGAGGTTATGCAAGCAACTCTTCAAATGAATGCTTTCAATAATCAGTGCCCTGCCTTAATGTATGCAGAACCTTTTGTTCACGAATTTATATCTATCTAGATTTTTTTTATTACAGAATGCGCTGTCTAAAAACATTTTATTTCAAATGTAGAAGCTTGAGAAAGTGGATTTAGTTTTCTCTTTAAATAATGAATCAGCATTTCAGATATGAATAAAATCCTTCAGAAGCTTTTTTTCTAGGCAACAAATACCAGTGTTTTTGAAGTAGAACTGCAAATCTTCATTAAAATGCAATACATTAAAAATACCTGATAAAAGGGAAAAGGAAAGAGGAAGGGTGTTAAATTAGGCATGGTGTTCAGGATCCAGAATTCAACACTGTAAAAAAACAGTAACACCTTGACAAAGACTGTGGGCAGTGTCCCTGTCAAACTGACCAATGGGTCTTCTAATTCAAAGAGGCTTGGTAGAGCCTTTTTTACATTCTTAGGATGGTCAAGTGTTTCTCAAAGTGCAAATGTAAGCCTTGTGAGAAAAATAGAGATCCTAATCATTTTGATGGTCATAAAATGGATCAGAACCAGACTGTAAAAATCAGTACCTAAAACCAAAAATGGTTGAAAAATGGAACTGACCTACAAGCTTTGTCAAAATTGCAAAAATTTCTTTCATGTAATTTGGACCCATTTCCTACCAGACGGCTTGTCATACCAGAGAGCATAACATATCATTTATGAGCAATGTGCAGAGAACTTCTGTTTCAACTTAGTGTTGATGGAAATATGAAGTTGCTCTGATCATTCTACCATTTTAAGTTAAGTCAAATTTCCAAGACCCAAATCAATAACAAATCAATTAGATTTTTTTTTTTGCATTACAAATATCTGTAGCCATAATAAATTATTTTGGTCACTAACAAAATCTTAAACAGCACTGCACTGAGGGAGAGGAGATCTACCAGAAGCAGACACCAACAAAAACTGAAAACACAGACAGCCAGAGATTATATGACTCAAGTTTGTTTTGACACAGTTGGGAGTACTTGCACAGCCAAGATGGAGATTTCTCCTGTTTCTCTCTGACTACTTGCATTATCCGTCTGCTTATCACCTGAAATATATCCTCTACATCTTAATTTGGTTGCCTCTCCATACTGTTAGCCTCATGTGCCACAGTTTAAGTGCTAAACTTAATTTACACATCTTAACTGGCATTGAGTCACCAATTATAGTACATGTGAACCTCTTGTTATAAATAAACATGTAATTCAGGTATTTAAAAAAGTCTGTTTCAATACTCTTTCAAGAACTTGTGTGCTTCTGGGTTTCTGTTGCTGTGTGTGTGTGTGTGTGTGTGTGTGTGTGTGTGTGTTTGTGTGTGTGTGTGTGTGTGATATTCTAAAATTCATTGCTATGAAATATATTCAAGGAAAAACACAAAAACCCCATTTGAGTATGTCACATCCTATAGTTTATTTAAGATATGATTAATCTTTCAAAAAAAAAAAAAAAATGTACGTCATTTGGTTTTTAAAAGCAGCAATGTGATTGATGGACCTCCTCTGAGTATGCCTTTTAACTGACTTTCATTTAAACTCTATCATTCTGATTATATTATCAAATTCCCTGTGTGCATGGTTGATGGATACTCAGATTCAGATTTAACTTTCAGTAAATTGCATTAAAAAGTATTAATATAAACCCATAGTTTAGCAGGGTGGAATAAAAAACTTTCATTTTAAACTAAAGTATGTGTGGGGAGCACATACAGCATTAATAAAGAAGGGCTTGTAATGCCATTTTGCGACTAGACTGAGAAAAAGTGGCAAATATGCTGAGGCTGGTTTGTTGGGCCTACATGTTGAATGTCTAATTCAAGTTACATGAGACATACAATGAAAAACCTGCTTTTTTCAGTCAGTCTTTTCTTTCAGCTCAAACTTCGTTTTTATTATTCTTATTTTCCTGGGACAATTTGTTCAAACAAGTCTCGCACTTGACAAGTATAAAGTGAAGTATACATTTATCTGGTAACTACACATACACATCTGGCTCTGCAGAGAGAAAGAGACACCTGAGCCCTGTGTTTCACAAGGGGATGGATATTCCAACTATTGGGTATCAGGACTGAATTCTTATGGTTTACAGAAGCAAGTTATAAACTGTTACTTAACTGACATTGCTACAGTGATTAAAAAATCTGGGTGATGACAAAAAAACCTTTTTTATTTATTTTGAATCTGTGCTGTCATAGTTACCAAATATGTGTAGAGGAATCAGAGTTTATCAGCTAAAAATAATAGAACTAAAGAAGTTTTGGAAAATGCCTTAATGTTTAAAAAAAAATAAAGCTCAAATTCTTTAAGGGGGCATTCATAAAAAATTAACATATCAGAAATTACTCCTGCATATAATATAGTTCGTTTTACAAAGTCTCCCTCTAGTATTAGTAAATAAGCAAAGCACATAACTTTTGCCTGCATCCCAATGTCAATTTCCTTGCAATAATTATTATCTTTACACCATTTAAGCTTCAATCATACCTAAGTATATGCAATGATTCCATTAAAACCATGCCTATAGTCAGAACTATGTAGAATAAACTGAAGTATAGATATTTAGTTATGAGTAGGGAAAATGGTAACAGCAATAACATTATTCTGTTTCAGGGACCAAATTGCTTATTCCAACTTTATGAAACATAATTTAATGGCTTTAAGCATATAAATGACAGAGAATGGGCATCATCTGAACTCATCATTACCCTTGAATATCTAATTGCAGAGATCAAATTGCCTTTATGATGAGTGGGAAGCAGGGGGATTCACCTTATCGATTCAATCTTTCATAGCACTGATTAATTCATTGCTTTAATTGTTAGACAGGTTAATTGGATTGCATCATGGGCAAGTGCCTCCAGTGTACTTAAATACACCTCATAGTTTGTCCTCTGGCTTTAATTATCTTTAAGGTGACTCTATGAATGCAGTCACATATAAAATGACATCCTTTTTAACATGTCATCAACAAACACTGTGGTGTGTTCACATCACAAGTTGTATGCAGATTAACTTAAAACTTTCAATTTACTGTTATGAAGAGAACAACAGTAAACCAGACCAAAAATTCTGCTCTTACTTGCTTGATTCTAATGATGAATAATGTTGTAAAAGATTCAGTATCACTCCATCTATTGTGTGTGAACACACCTCCTCCACCACTCTGGAATGTGACTTTGCCAGACAAAATCAATTTTTGCCATAGGATGGCAATCTATTTTTTATAAAACTAACACAAGTGGAGGATCTCTAGGGAATGGTTTTTGTTCTGTGTATTCTTCTTCACTTTGATACCCAACATAAGTTTAATGTAGGGAAATTTCCACCACAGGCAGACATGGGGAAGGTGGAACATGCAATCTGTTCAAGATGTCTTAAGGAAAAGTTTGCAGTTAGTTTAGTCAGTTTCTAAGACTAAGGGATGACAATTTAATTTTTTGTTTTCATATGCACAGATAAATATAAATTCTAAGCTTTGCATACCAACAGGTTGCAGTTCAGAAAAATGTGAAAGAAGACAGAAATTGATGGCACTGGCAACTGCTTGGAAATATTTGAAAACTGATCACAAAGACACGTTCTAGCACACAGCCTGTCATAAATGTCACTGTCATATTAAATTCAATTCCACACTAAACGCACTATCACACCAGACACAATACCCTACCAAGCACACTATCACTTCCGACACAATACCCCACTAAGCACACTATCATATCCAACACAATATCCCACTAAGCACACTATCATATCCAACACAATATCCCACTAAGCACACTATCATATCCAACACAATACCAGACCAAATACACTTCTATCAGTAAACACAATGTCATATCAAAAACTTTTTTTCTCTACCTGCAATGTTTTCAATAAAGTCTAGCTGCTGTTCTTGCTCAACTTTTCCTTCACACAGCAGTCTGCATGTCCTGTGTTCCTTGAAGTACTCTCTTGTTGATTTCTCCATGCTTTCTATAACGCCCAGCCAGTCTTCTCTGTTGTAGGCTTCAACTGCCCTAATATAGTGGGTCTGTGAAAAAAAAGGAATTATCAGATTAACACTATCCTCACACAAAGCAAACACATTGCAACAGCTTACAGAGGCACTTTTACCCAAAAGACATCACTAATGCAAACTTCAGTCGTGTATTACAAAAATCTGTTCTGAAAAGACAAAAATAATAATATAAAGATAAACTGAACTGAATCAAAATAAAAGAATAGATATTACCCAAAACTTTGTGACTTATTAATGACAAATGGTTCATAACATAACATTTCCTTTGATGCCCCCCACCCCCAACCAACAAGAGAATATTTAGTTTGCCTTTGCTATTTGACTAATGACTTATGGCTTAGTCATGGTTTTATGTTTTAAGGGTATTCTTTTCAATGCAATTTGACATAGAATGGGACTGGCATTAGATAACAGTTTCCAGTATATATTAAGCAAACTGCCAACAGCAACTCAAGCAAAAAATGACCCAATTGCTGAAATAAAATTGCATTTGCTTTCATCTACTGTTTATTGGCCAAAGGCATAAAATGTGCATTAAGCTGTGAAGAACTGGAATATTGCCTAAATCATAGTGGAACTTAAAAGGAAGATTAAAACAAGGGAAACCATAGTTTATCATTAAGAAAACTGTAGTTTATCATCAAGGAATCATCTGAAAAAACTAGTTCTCACACTGAAAGCCAAACAAAACATCTTGTTTAAAGCTTTGAATATGGCTCAAACGATTTGTTACAAACATCAAAATATGTTGTACATCTGGAATTTTCTTACATTTCCACTTCACCTTGCAGCCATAAAAAAGGTCAATCTTCTAGCAGCAGGAACAGGTCAAATACTCAAATATAGAAGCAAAATTTAATACCCCATCCACTTTCCATATTTTTCTTTATTTAAAAAACATTTTGTCTGCTAGCGCACATTTATGTTTTCCATTCTTTTTCAGTTATTTCAACACAGGTGATAACAGAATAATTTCAAGAGGATATGAAGGAAACATGTTTCATTTTCTGACAAAATTGATGTTTTTTATGAGTGAAGCAAAAGAAATCACAAGATGAATGGGGCAGACATTGTCTGTTTCTGATATCCCTCTGTCAAAAGATGATGACATCTGGTAGAGGACCTGGTGGGAAAACCTAAAAGTAATGACTAGGACATTTGGATCCAATAAGGAAGAACAACACAGCACACAAAGCCACATTTTTTACCATCCTAACCTATGGTGAGATTGGTTAAGGTAAAACTGGCAACCCATGAGCTTGTTATGCTGTAACATTTCTCTCTAAGGGAAGTTGTTACCAGTTGGGAAATAGTTGCCATGCTGTTCAAGGCGTTAAAAGTCCAGTTTTCTAACTGAGAACTAAACATCTGCAGGGCAAGCTCAGGACGGCAGTTATTATACTTCTGTCATATAGATATTAGGATAACTAACCACACTGTGGGAGAGAAATGGTGTGGAATAGAACAAGGTTTTCTCCGCATGAATAATTTAACTTCATCCAATTTTTCCAGAATATCTGATTTAAACCAACTGATGCAGAAAACCCCAGTTTCAAGCTATAATTCTGCGGCAATATGGCACCTATTATAAAGATGGGGCCAGTAACTCAATTGAAAAAAGTTAAATCCTATACAGATACAGATAGCAAAGTAACTTGGAATGCAAAAGTGAAATACAGTGCCATTGACAGAATGTGCAATACCTTACAATGAAAGACATGAAATAAATTTCTTTTAATGTATAAAGATCTACATTTTGATACATTTTAAATACAATTTCTCTGTGCACATTTTTCCAAAACGGCAAAGAATCAAAAATTTTATTGTCCAGGAGCACTACAGCGTCCATTGTTTTAAAGCTCATAATCCATCTTAGCAACATTTTCCTTTTAATATGAAAACATGCATTTGTAGCTACATTTCAGGACTTTAACCTGCTTACTCCACTGTGAGTTACTGTTTAACATTCCACATAAACATATTTCTAGCTGTGGCTGGTCACTCCACACATTTCACATACTCTAACTTCCATTGTTCTGTCAATCTTGGTCACCTTTCTCAACCATTAAAAAGACTTACTACATTGTAATTCAAAAAGGTTTTAACTTTTACAATTAGAAGAAATCTTTATCACATTTCTAGGTAGGTTTAAAATTGTTTTTCAACAGTTCTTTAAATCTATAATTATTATTTAATAGTGATTGAAAAAATCTGTGAATCATGTCTATATTGGTCATGATAAGAAAAGTTAAGTGTTGTAACACATCAATAAGAATAGTTTGAAAATTTTATTTGCACCCTAATATACTGTTCATAAGACTTAAAAGACTTGTATGACAGTTCAATAATGTAGGGTGTGCCAACATACTGCAATGTTTGGTTAGAATCCTTTTTTCTCACCTGATAAGGTTTTTCTTCCAAGTTTACAAAAAATTCATCTTTCACTTGGGGCAGGCTTCGATAGTAGTGGATATTCTTCTGCATGGCCTCATTGTCTTTGTTACTTAGCAGGAATGTATAGGCAGCAGCAGCAGCATGCTGATAAAGTTGTATCTATGCAATTACAATAAAATCATTAAATTAAAATATGTGAAATAAATATAAATATGATGTAAAGGTGAGCAGCCTATCATGATAAAAATTTAACAAGACTACATCAATGTTTCCATTCTGTTGGGTTTTTTTTCTAAGCAAATAATATATATATATAGAAAAAGAAAAAGTTTGTTCCAAATCAGGCTGTTTATATATCATAGAATGATTTTTAAATCATCCATTTATTGGGAAAAACATTTATTATCTAAAAAGTAAACGGCTGAAGCCTATAAACACATATTCTAATAACGTTAACAGACAGTATTAACAACTATGTACAGTGGGTTAAATAGTAGGGTTCTTCAGTGGTTACATCCCAAATACTTATACCTTCTACCAAAAACATTTTCAGGGATGAGAAGGTCAAGGGCCAGGTGTAATACCAGAAGTGTTTCCTCACATATTCATTATACATAGTCAGGGGCTGGTAAGAAGAATAAATGCCACAGGATGCATGGTCAGCATGCTCTACAGCGTATGCCTATACTACCTTTTAATAGCAAAACACCTGCCCTCTGCAAGCATGGCTGAAACTGCCAGAGTTCTATTTATGTATACCCTATGCCAGATGTTTTTAGGAAAAACAGATCAGCAATAGAGAGTTTAACTTGTTTCTCATTTCTGCTTAAGGGTGTCAAAAAGACCCATTTTGCTTATATTAAAAATCGGTTTTATGAACATCATAATAAAACATAAGTCAGTTAGGTGTTGGTATAAAAATATGCATACAATGATGACACCATGACATAATGCCTATCATCAAAAATAGATTTATATTTTAAAATAATAGGGTCCAAGAAAAAAACACTATTATGGCTAAATGAAGGTTTAAGCTATAAAACGCCCACAAATGTGTACTGCTGCTTTTAACCCTTCAGGCATTTGAATTATGCTAGAGGCAGTGGAAACGGAGTACGTGATAAAACTCTTGGCACAAACAGGCCACGTCAGCTGAAAAATTAACAACGCTATTTCTAAAGAATCGAGATTAAACCACTAACAAAAGTTAAAAAAGCACTCTGTTTTACTCACTTTGAAAGCACAGAGCTGATAATAATCATACGGCTTCAGATTTTCAAAGGCCTCATCAACTTCGGCACTGTAGTTGTCAGGTCGAGTTTTAAATTTAGTCATTTTACACTTTCTAATGCAGTTTGACTTATATACATAGTTTCCAAAGATAGCTAGCTGCATATCCACCGGTTTTTGAGTGTTGAATTTGTTTGCTTTGGTGCACAATCGTCTACATTCTGCAAGAGTTTCTGTGTAAAAATGATAATCTTCAATGGCTCGAGACATAAACTTCATACAATCGCTCCATTTCTGGTTGGAATATGCGTCAAGTCCGGCACTGTACATCATCTCGTAGGTTACAGAAGGAAAGTCTGGTAACGCTGAGCATTTCTGAGTTAATATTGTTAGTATTGTACATACTATTACAGTGATTTTTCCGATACAAACACTACGCCATCGAATCTTGGAGTTTTCGGGGGCTGCCATCTTGATTTGACCTTGAGGTCACAGTCGCGTTTCCGACTAACCCATTGGCCAGTTTGTTTCAATGTATTTAAATAGTTGTATAAAGCAAAATTCGAGGAATATCTGAAGTGCACTGGTTTCACAAAATGAATTTTATTCATATTCAGTCACTCTGGGGATAATTTGTTTCTAGACTACACCTGTGTTTTTCTTATTATTTTAAAGCAGGTGCCCTATGCTAGGCTGAGTAGGTACGAAAGGACTATGATCATATAATCAACTTCATATATATTCTTCTTTATTCATATATAATTCTTTTTGTACTGTTTTACAAAAAACACAAATGAGGTTTATTTGGCAATATTGTTAAGACAAAAAGCATCCAACTACATGCCATGAACTCTTCTGGAAAGGTAAGCTGCTACCCCTTTTGCTCCCCGTTCACCTGTCCACGTGACTTTCCATATCGGGAGTGTTGACTGGTCCAGCATGACAGAAGAAAGTTGGTGAGGGAACAGTGAAGAAGTGGTGCTCATCGAATAATGTTGGAATATGTACGATCAGGACTTATGAACAAACTATAAACACACAGGATATGTTAGACAGAGCGCGGAGGACATATAGACAAACTTTAGAAGCAATGCCTTGGTTTCTATCGAGGCTTTGCCTCTATTTAATCGTTCTCAGCCTACAAGCGATAGAGGAAGGTAGTACTAGTAGTGGAGACACTATGAATGTGAAAGTCTTCTGGAATGCAACAAATCCAATGTGAGTACAAAGTTATTGTCGAAAAAAATGAAATAAAAATAATTTAGGTTACATCACAACCATCATGCTCATTTAACAGTTTTTTTTTCTATTTTTTAATCTGGGTCTTTTTTAATTTTTTTTTACGCCGAGAGATTACTATTCTGAAGGATTGGGATTGGAAGGCATCGTTTGCGTTTTTAAAGGCAAACGCATATTGTGTACTGCTGTCAACTTGGAAATAAGAAAGGCTTAGTAGTGTTGAGTAATTGTTTTTTTTTTACTCGATATTAATTAGAAAATAACAAAAAGAGAATTCTTAATGATTATTATATTTTATTACGCTTTTTGGTGTTTGAGGCCTTGTGCCTCAAGGGATTTGGTGGGAGGCCGCAAAGTCGGGTCGTCTTTAATATTGCCTAGGGCCACCAGGGTTTGTACTAATAGCTCCAAATGACATGATACTTTCAGTCACCTGTCTATTCAAATTCCCTCCTTTTTGTTGATAATCCCAGTGATTCCGTCACTCCAGGAGAGATCGTTGCCTTTTAGGAGCCTTGTGTCATAAGTTGTTATTATTGTGTTCTCACTTTATATTGTTGGTGACAAGGCAGGTGAAGAAGATTAAAACTTTGTCTGAGGAAGGGTGGTCTTCAAGTTTGTATATCTCACTTCACAGTGAGACACACAAGGCTAAGCCCCAAGAGGATTTTTTCTGTGGTGAACAAAGATCATTGTGGATAATTATTTCAAAGTTTTTTCTTGAAAGTTTCTTTATAAAGAAAAGATACATGAGGACAGAGGCAGACATTTTTGATTTTTTAGTGTGATGTTAAAGGAATTTTATCCATGCCACATCTCCCCAGTCCTGTGCAGTGTTATTGTTTTGTTACCAAATATTTCACAATGCAGGTGAAAGGGGCTTTATGCCAGGTGCGTGTATTATTATTTCTCTACAGACCACCCCGTAATACCAGACTTACTAAGACTTTCTTTGTTGGATAAGCAAATAAAAAACATTGTCTGAATGAACATGGATTTTCATTGAATACTGTTGCACGCATATGGCGGTTTTTTTTTGGGAAAAATTTGGGTTGGGAAAAATCTATGATTTTTCTTTTTTTTTTTACTTTAGCAGGGGCCTTTTAGATAAAAGGTTTGTGAATTTTTTTTTTTTTTTANACAATTTAACTTCATCCAATTTTTCCAGAATATCTGATTTAAACCAACTGATGCAGAAAACCCCAGTTTCAAGCTATAATTCTGCGGCAATATGGCACCTATTATAAAGATGGGACCAGTAACTCAATTGAAAAAAGTTAAATCCTATACAGATACAGATAGCAAAGTAACTTGGAATGCAAAAGTGAAATACAGTGCCATTGACAGAATGTGCAATACCTTACAATGAAAGACATGAAATAAATTTCTTTTCATGTATAAAGATCTACATTTTGATACATTTTAAATACAATTTCTCTGTGCACATTTTTCCAAAACTAAACGGCAAAGAATCAAAAAAATTTATTGTCCAGGAGCACTACAGCTTCCATTGTTTTAAAGCTCATAATCCATCTTAGCAACATTTTCCTTTTAATATGAAAAAATGCATTTGTAGCTACATTTCAGGACTTTAACCTGCTTACTCCACTGTGAGTTACTGTTTAACATTCCACATAAACATATTTCTAGCTGTGGCTGGTCACTCCACACATTTCACATACTCTAACTTCCATTGTTCTGTCAATCTTGGTCACCTTTCTCAACCATTAAAAAAACTTACTACATTGTAATTCAAAAAGGTTTTAACTTTTACAATTAGAAGAAATCTTTATCACATTTCTAGGTAGGTTTAAAATTGTTTTTCAACAGTTCTTTATATCTATAATTATTATTTAATAGTGATTGAAAAATAAAATTGTGAATCATGTCTATATTGGTCATGATAAGAAAAGTTAAGTGTTATAACACATCAATAAGAATAGTTTGAAAATTTTATTTGCACCCTGATATACTGTTTATAAGACTTAAAGATACATACAAAGTCAATTTTTTGTCATAAAAACCAACCAAATGCCAGCATATAGTTTCAAGTAGTATAACTAAGAGAATTACCAAAAGGCATTGTTTAATTTTACCCGAAAGTGATGTTTGAACAGATTTTTCTGCCAGCATTCTATGCTGTATGTCAATGGGGCAGAAAGTAGGTCACGAAAGTAGGTTAAATTGACAACCAAAAATTTAAAGAAAGGAGCACTCTAAAGCTCTTTTATGGCTGATCAGGTGATTTATTCAGTTTATCCCTTGGCATGTCAAATTTATTAGAGTCATATAAGAAACTAGTAGAAGTGGTTTACATGTGTTACTGGGAATCCACGCTCCACCGATGCTCGGTTCGTATGTACCTTTAAAAGACTTGTATGACAGTTCAATAATGTAGGGTGTGCCAACATACTGCAATGTTTGGTTAGAATCCTTTTTTCTCACCTGATAAGGTTTTTCTTCCAAGTTTACAAAAAATTCATCTTTCACTTGGGGCAGGCTTCGATAGTAGTGGATATTCTTCTGCATGGCCTCATTGTCTTTGTTACTTAGCAGGAATGTATAGGCAGCAGCAGCAGCATGCTGATAAAGTTGTATCTATGCAATTACAATAAAATCATTAATAAAATATGTGAAATAAATATAAATATGATGTAAAGGTGAGCAGCCTATCATGATAAAAATTTAACAAGACTACGTCAATGTTTCCATTCTGTTGGGTTTTTTTTCTAAGCAATATATATATAGAAAACAAAAAAGTTTGTTCCAAATCAGGCTGTTTATATATCATAGAATGATTTTTAAATCATCCATTTATTGGGGAAAACATTTATTATCTAAAAAGTAAACGGCTGAAGCCTATAAACACATATTCTAATAATGTTAACAGACAGTATTAACAACTTATAAGATCTATGTACAGTGGGTTAAATAGTACGGTTCTTCAGTGGTTACATCCCAAATACTTATACCTTCTACCAAAAACATTTTCAGGGATGAGAAGGTCAAGGGCCAGGTGTAATATCAGAAGTGTTTCCTCACATATTCATTATACATAGTCAGGGGCTGGTAAGAGGAATAAATGCCACAGAATGCATGGTCAGCATGCTCTACAGCGTATGCCTATACTACCTTTTAATAGCAAAACACCTGCCCTCTGCAAGCATGGCTGAAACTGCCAGAGTTCTATTTATGTATACCCTATGCCAGATGTTTTTAGGAAAAACAGATCAGCAATAGAGAGTTTAACTTGTTTCTCATTTCTGCTTAAGGGTGTCAAAAAGACCCATTTTGCTTATATTAAAAATCGGTTTTATGAACATCATAATAAAACATAAGTCAGTTAGGTGTTGGTATAAAAATATGCATACAATGATGACACCATGACATAATGCCTATCATCAAAAATAGATTTATATTTTAAGATAATAGGGTCCAAGAAAAAAACACTATTATGGCTAAATGAAGGTTTAAGCTATAAAACGCCCACAAATGTGTACTGCTGCTTTTAACCCTTCAGGCATTTGAATTATGCTAGAGGCAGTGGAAACGGAGTACGTGATAAAACTCTTGGCACAAACAGGCCACGTCAGCTGAAAAATTAACAACGCTATTTCTAAAGAATCGACATTAAACCACTAACAAAAGTTAAAAAAGCACTCTGTTTTACTCACTTTGAAAGCACAGAGCTGATAATAATCATACGGCTTCAGATTTTCAAAGGCCTCATCAACTTCGGCACTGTAGTTGTCAGGTCGAGTTTTAAATTTAGTCATTTTACACTTTCTAATGCAGTTTGACTTATATACATAGTTTCCAAAGATAGCTAGCTGCATATCCACCGGTTTTTGAGTATTGAATTTGTTTGCTTTGGTGCACAATCGTCTACATTCTGCAAGAGTTTCTGTGTAAAAATGATAATCTTCAATGGCTCGAGACATAAACTTCATACAATCGCTCCATTTCTGGTTGGAATATGCGTCAAGTCCGGCACTGTACATCATCTCGTAGGTTACAGAAGGAAAGTCTGGTAACGCTGAGCATTTCTGAGTTAATATTGTTAGTATTGTACATACTATTACAGTGATTTTTCCGATACAAACACTACGCCATCGAATCTTGGAGTTTTCGGGGGCTGCCATCTTGATTTGACCTTGAGGTCACAGTCGCGTTTCCGACTAACCCATTGGCCAGTTTGTTTCAATGTATTTAAATAGTTGTATAAAGCAAAATTCGAGGAATATCTGAAGTGCACTGGTTTCACAAAATGAATTTTATTCATATTCAGTCACTCTGGGGATAATTTGATTCTAGACTACACCTGTGTTTTTCTTATTATTTTAAAGCAGGTGCCCTATGCTAGGCTGAATAGGTACGAAAGGACTATGATCATATAATCAACTCCATATATATTTTTCTTTATTCATATATAATTCTTTTTGTACTGTTTTACGAAAAACACAAATGAGGTTTTTTTGGCAATATTGTTAAGACAAAAAGCATCCAACTACATGCCATGAACTCGTCTGGAAAGGTAAGCTGCTACCCCTTTTGCTCCCCGTTCACCTGTCCACGTGACTTTCCATATCGGGAGTGTTGACTGGTCCAGCATGACAGAAGAAAGTTGGTGAGGGAACAGTGAAGAAGTGGTGCTCATCGAATAATGTTGGAATATGTACGATCAGGACTTATGAACAAACTATAAACACACAGGATATGTTAGACAGAGCGCGGAGGACATATAGACAAACTTTAGAAGCAATGCCTTGGTTTCTATCGAGGCTTTGCCTCTATTTAATCGTTCTCAGCCTACAAGCGATAGAGGAAGGTAGTACTAGTAGTGGAGACACTATGAATGTGAAAGTCTTCTGGAATGCAACAAATCCAATGTGAGTACAAAGTTATTGACGAAAAAATGAAATATAAATAATTTAGGTTACATCACAACCATCATGCTCATTTAACAGTTTTTTTTTCTTTTTTTTAATCTGGGTCTTTTTAAATTTTTTTTTACGCCGAGAGATTACTATTCTGAAGGATTGGGATTGGAAGGCATCGTTTGCGTTTTTAAAGGCAAACGCATATTGTGTACTGCTGTCAACTTGGAAAAAAGAAAGGCTTAGTAGTGTTGAGTAATTGATTTTTTTTGACTCGATATTAATTAGAAAATAACAAAAAGAGAATTCTTAATGATTATTATATTTTATTACGCTTTTTGGTGTTTGAGGCCTTGTGCCTCAAGGGATTTGGTGGGAGGCCGCAAAGTCGGGTCGTCTTTAATATTGCCTAGGGCCACCAGGGTTTGTACTAATAGCTCCAAATGACATGATACTTTCAGTCACCTGTCTATTCAAATTCACTCCTTTTTGTTGATAATCCCAGTGATTCCGTCACTCCAGGAGAGATCGTTGCCTTTTAGTAGCCTTGTGTCATAAGTTGTTATTATTGTGTTCTCACTTTATATTGTTGGTGACAAGGCAGGTGAAGAAGATTAAAACTTTGTCTGAGGAAGGGTGGTCTTCAAGTTTGTATATCTCACTTCACAGTGAGACACACAAGGCTAAGCCCCAAGAGGATTTTTTCTGTGGTGAACAAAGATCATTGTGGATAATTATTTCAAAGTTTTTTCTTGAAAGTTTCTTTATAAAGAAAAGATACATGAGGACAGAGGCAGACATTTTTGATTTTTTAGTGTGATGTTAAAGGAATTTTATCCATGCCACATCTCCCCAGTCCTGTGCAGTGTTATTGTTTTGTTACCAAATATTTCACAATGCAGGTGAAAGGGGCTTTATGCCAGGTGCGTGTATTATTATTTCTCTACAGACCACCCCGTAATACCAGACTTACTAAGACTTTCTTTGTTGGATAAGCAAATAAAAAACATTGTCTGAATGAACATGGATTTTCATTGAATACTGTTGCACGCATATGGCGGTTTTATTGTGGCAAAAATTTGGGTTAGGAAAATATCCTATGATTTGACTTCTTTAACTTAGCAGGTCCATTTAAGATAAAGGTTTGAGAATTTTTTCTTTATTTAATGAATATGATAGTGACCCATACTTGATCAAAGTCTGTCATCAGTAGTTCTCTTGTTTTGTAACAATGTTATCACAGTTTTCTTGATCTTTGATGCAAATTAAATGCAAGACATTTACATAAGAAAGCTCAAATTGATGGCTTCTTGATTAGAGGCACCATGGACTTACCATATAATTTTAGATTAGCCACTGGAAGCCTCTTCATTGTCAAACTAAAATCTATTCAACTACCATTATAGAAATTAAGACTTCTGAATATTATATGAAATTACACAAACATTGAGAGATTATTTGTTTATATACCAACTTGAATTTGAAAAGTGGATAAGCTAGATTTAGCTGGAGATGGGAGAAAGGATGAAAATTGGAGGTATAAGTTCTACAAAATCAACAGACCTCAAGCCACCCCTTGTGTTCATGTTTTTGCAGAGCTTTCAAAAGCATAGCCAATACTTGAGTACATGGAAAGGAATTGTTTGAAAAATAATGTCTGTATTTATTTTTCATTAATTAAACCCTGCTATAAGTTTACTTGGAAAGTCACTTGGTGCCTTACACTTCCTGCAAGCCTTTTAAGATTTTTCATGGTCTGTCTCTAATCGGTCTTTGCTGATTTAAGAACTGGACCCAAATCTCTCGGCATTAGCCCATAATCCGACTTTCACTAGAAAATCTGAGCCAAAGAAATGTGGCCTACATCATGTCTGCTGCCTTGATTTATACCTTTTTTGCCAGAGCAGTTCTACTGTTTTTGATAAGTTTTTATTTCACCGTGAACATGAAAGTCCTTTCTGATTAATTTTTGTCTGATGTTTCATATGGATTGAATTATAATTTGTGCTGTTATTCCTTTTTAAAATCCCATTATATTAATTAACAAATAGTAGGCACCTTTGAATATTTTTTGTGGTAAGACTAGGTATTGATTTTGGGGGGAAATCTTGACCTGTTCTCGGGACTGTTAATCATTATATGTTATCAGAAAACTGATAAACCCATGTTTCTGTATTGATTAACTTCAGTATGCCGCCCATGTCAACCTACCCACAACTAAGTTATTAAACAACAAAGATTTTTATGGTATAAAAAAGGAATTATTATGAAGGTATTTTTTGTTTGTTCTGTAACTAATCTAAAGATTTAGTTTCACTGATTCTGAATTTATTAAGATCTGTAACTTAAAATGACATCTGTAATAGAATTGATATACTTCATACAAGTATATCTCTGTGGATAAGATTGAGAGAATGTATTTGCTAACTGCTCTTTGATGGCAATTTGAAAATACTTTCTTATTGTTCCTAGCATTGATTGCCCAATAGAATTGCAAAATAAATGTCATGCTATTGAACATGGAGAGCACAAGATTTGTCAATAAGCCACATTCATTCATTCAGAGTTGTACTATAAGGATTGATAATTTTACTTTTTGGGTCGCAAATTAAGGGACATTTCTTTGCTTATTGTCAAATGCCTAGATCATTCATAGATTTGTTGTTGTTATTCTCAAGCTAGCCCCAAGCTAAGCAGATATTTTATCAGGCCAATTTTCTTCTCAGATAATTTTTCATGGCCTTATAAAAAGAGAAGGAAACAATTTAAGGATCATAAACTCTTTTTTTTTTTTTTTAAGGTGAAAATAAGTTGACAGTCAGTTGAATTTTTTTATGTATCCCAACCAAAATGATTGAGCACATACATGTTGGTATCTTAAGATAACATTTGTCAATATACATATATATCCATTGTATTTTACCAGACAAATATTCATTTCTCGTGTACCCACAAATCTTGCAGGGATTTTGCAAATATTAATTGATTGATACTCAGCCATTTTTCTTTCTTGTTTAATCACTGCACTCCAGATTTCCCTAGCTACCCCAGATATATCTCAGTAACTACTCCGTCCAGTGTTTGTAAATCTGAGGACATGCCAGTCAAATTCAAATTAAATTGGTTGCTATTGAGCCTCTTTTGATAAAAAGAAGGTGATGTTTTGTTACCTAAGCATACAGACGAAAATCCTCCAATTTTGTTGAAAGAGATATTCTTACCCAGTGTTTGATAATCATTAGTATTCATGAATTTTTGTCCCCGAGTTGGGACCATTTACAGATGGTGTATAGACACAGGCCGCTTCCCGATTTTGAAACCCTAGTTCAAAAAAGAGACTGGTAGAAACAGAATTGTTAATTTAATAGCCTATTTTACCAGTGTATAAGTAGAAATATGACACATAGTTTACCAAACTGTGTATACATTGAGGTACAACTGCCAGGTGTAACGAATTCAAAATTACCTTTGTGTATGACTAGAAAAGTTCAGGACCTCATTCATATTAAGACAAGTATTATTGCTATACAACCCAGGAATGTGAGTGACGAGAAAAGTGCCAAACTTGAGAATAATACGTCAGTTAACTATGTAAACTGATTATTGCTGTCCCAGGTCCTTTTTCCAAGTCTGCAACCCCTGGTTAACAGAGGAACCTTTCTGTGGAGTGGTAATGCAAACCAGATATAGGTCTTGAATAAATGGTGGCTAAATTTGAAATGAATCATAATATGAAATTTGAACAGAGTCAATTTCAGCTATGAGCACACCTTGAATGACGAAAAAATGTCCCACCAAGCTTTATGCCACCTTAAGGTCTTAGATCATGGAACTGGAGACGAAGCTTGACATGGCCTAAAGCTTAATCACCTTTACTACGACTTAGTACAGCTAATCAAAATGTTGTCTCCAAGGATTAAGACACACAAAGAATTTTATTCATGCCAAGAACAAGGTGTTTTAAAATACAACCCACGCCCGTAGTTTGTAGAGCAGACAAATTCGTGACAGATAAAGCAAGTACAACTTATAAATATTTAGGAAGAATTGCAGAGATGCAGTGGAGGTCATACTGAAAATACAAAAGCCCGTTGAACAATGTATGATGGTCAGGTTTAAGTTTTATTAGCCAGATTTTTAACACAGCAGATGCCATGAACACCCACCTGGTAATCTGTCAATATGAACGAAAAGTCCCCCACCCCCCCCCCCCCAAAAAAAAAAAAAAAAAAGAATGTTACATCTGTCTTTTGATTGGTCTGTTAATTTTGCCTGCAAACATGGTACACTGAGTCTTTGAGAATGGTGAATTACAATTTATCTGAATATGCACAGCGGCAGTGGCTATTGTTTAGCTGATTGGTTTCAGAATAATGTGAGATCACTTACACTGAATGGAATAACTTGAAATTACACCATTATAAAAAAGGACAGCTATGTTTTTAGTGTAAGTGATAAATCATTGTTGTTCACGGCTGTCTTCTCACGTTAAAACAGGTGCATTGTTTGAGCGTAGGTAAAAATGAGACAACATCAAAAATGTCATGCCATCTCGGGTGAAAATGATTTATCAACTCCACTCAAGGAATTAAGTGGCCATCAAGCTTTCCCCCCCTCCTTTTTATGGTGATATACTTGACTTTTTCATCTTAATAAAAGTCCTCAAGTCATTTAACTAAAATGACTATAAGAATTTTTATTTATTTTGGAGCTGTTTCTTTTATGTCTGAGGCTCTTAGGCAGAAATAATATCTTCCTTCATCCCAGCTGAAAAGCGGGTTGTTAAAAGACTGTCATAAAAGGACAGGAATTTAATGAGTAAATCATGATCTGTGATTTGTTATAGTTACAAACAGTTTTCTTAACATTTGATCCCTAAAATTGTACTGGACTTTGTGGACTTGGCTTAATGCCTAGCTTCAAGTTACAGTTTGCTTCCAAAAATGGCAGTTGAAGTGCCTACTGAGTTAGTTTAACTGAACAAAACACACTGGCATTGCCCTGTACTGTAT